CGTTATAAAAAAGTGGAGTTTATGCACGTGGAGGAAATAATCGATTTGAGACTCAGCCAGAGTCACTGAGCGAGATGAGTGTTGCCAAGTGCACGGCTGGTGTCCATGCCAAGTAGAATCAAACATTGCACGCAGTATGAGTGAGGGTGTCTGTAATTATTCACACGCGACGGAGAAACTGTTCTTGAGCTGTTTCGTGACTGTCCCCTACACGTGCAGGGAGAGCGTGTTTGCTCCGTTGTCTTCTCTGAAGGACGAGAGAGGTCACGAGGCCTCAAAGGTCCTCCTGCGATGGACCTGCCAGCTGCAAATATTCGGAGACGGAGACAAGTGAGAGAGAGATGATGACTTACTGACTAGTCTACTGTACTTGACTAAAACACGTCTTGTATGCAATCTAACTCCTGTAGCGTAGACACTTTCTTCTGTACCACTGGTGTGTGTCAGGATTGGAAGCGTTCCACTGTAAATGATGTCATTCGTCTCTCTCCCTCTCTTCCTCCTCCTCTCCCTCTCCCTCCAGACAAGCATTCATAGAGGACATCCGCCAGGCGCTCTATGCCTCCAAGATTGTCTCCTATGCCCAGGCTTCATGGTTGCTCTCCGCGAGGCGGCCAAGGTCTACAGCTGGATCTCAACTACGGCGGCATCGCACTCAGGTGGCGTGGAGGCTGCATCATGCGCAGTCCTTCCTCTAGTACTATCGTGATAGAGCATCGCACTCATGTGGCGTGAGGCTGCTCATCAGAGCAGGTCCTTTCTCTATTACTATCTGTGTACTAGAGCAGTCGCCTCATGTGGCGTGGAGGCTGACATCATGTCGCGAGCGAGGTCCTTCTCTAGTACTATCTGTGTATAGAGCATCGCGCTCATGTGCGTGGAGGCTGCATCATTCGCAGGTCCTTTCTCTAGTACTATCTGTTATAGAGCATCGCACTCATGTGCGTGGAGCTGCATCATTCGCAGGTCCTTTCTCTAGTACTCCTGTGTATAGAGCATCGCACTCAGGGGCGTGGAAAGCTGCATCATTCGCAGGTCCTGTCATCTGAGTACTATCTGTGTATAGAGCATCGCACTCATGTGGCGTGGCAGGCGCATCATTCGCAGGTCCTTCTTAGTACTATCTGTGTATAGAGCATCGCACTCATGTGGCGGGGAGGGCTGCATCATTCGCTAGGTCCTTTCTCTAGTACTATCTGTGTATAGAGCATCGCACTCATGTGGCGTGGAGGCTGCATCATTCGCAGGTCCTTTCTCTAGTACTATCTGTGTATAGAGCATCGCACTCATGTGGCGTGGAGGCTGCATCATTCACAGGTCCTTTCTCTAGTACTATCTGTGTATAGAGCTCGCACTCATGTGGCGTGGAGGCTGCTCATTCGCAGGTCCTTTCTCTAGTACTATCTGTGGTATAGAGCATCGCACTCATTGGCGTGGAGCTGCATCATTCAGCAGACTGCCTTTCTCTAGTACTATATATCTGTGTATGAGAGCATCGCACTCATGTGGCGTGGGAGGCTGCATCATTCGCAGGTCCTTTCTCTAGTACTATCTGTGTTAGAGCATCGCACTCATGTGGCGTGGAGACTGCATCATTCCAGGTCCTTTTCTAGTACTATTCTGTGTATAGAGCATCGCACTCATGTGGCGTGGAGGCTGCATCATTCGCAGTCCTTTCTCTAGTACTATCTGTGTATAGAGCATCGCACTCATGTGCGTGGAGGCTGCTCATTCGCAGGTCCTTTCTCTAGTACTATGATTTGTAGAAGCGCACCATGTGGCATGGAGGCTGCATCATTCGCAGTCCTTTCTCTAGTACTATCTGTGTATAGAGCATCCACTCATGTGGCTGGAGGCTGCTCATCCAGTCCTTTCTCTAATACTATCTCTGTATAGAGCATTGTCAGTCCATCGTGAAAATGATCTAAATTTGCTATAATCAAACTATGGTCTGCTATAATTATTAGGACTTTGTTGTGTTTTCTTGTGCAGTCGTTTCCTAGGCAACATGAAGGAGGCGTTTGACAAGAACCCGGCCCTCACCAACCTTCTTCTGGACGACTTCTTCAAGTCCGCAATCCTCCGCTGTCAGGTACTTGCATGACTCAACAACAACTTGGTAGCGAGGTAGAAAGGCAAGGCAAGGCAAACAAGTCAACTATACGTAAAACACGTGTTATGGGGACATTGGTGAGGCATTGGTACAGTGTAGAGGAAAACTTGCGATGGAGAAAATTTTCACTTTTTTTTTACATTTAGATTATGTAGACATGTAAGTGCATTAATTCAGTACGTGTGTGTAATTTGGTAAACGCATTCCCACAAGTATTTTGTGTGGAATATTGTGCGAAGACTAAATCCAGTGCTGATTATTGTGGTAGCTACAATGCATTGAGTGGGGAGGCACTGTGTTATGAAAATTAGTCTTCTCTCTTCTCGCTATCTCCTGTGCTATCCCCTGTGCAGGATGGATGGCGTAGAGTAGTGTCACAGGCAGTGCTACTTGGAATCCCGACTCCTGCCTTCAGCAGTGCCCTCGCCTTCTTTGACGGCTACAGGTACACCAGCACTCACTCACATATTATACAGTATGTAAGAAAGTGAAGCGAACAAAGAAAGAGAAAGGAAGGCTATAAGGGACTGCTTCTTCACTTAATCTGTAACTCTCTCTCTCTCTCTGTGTGTGTACTGGATAAAAGTAAGTGTGCCATGTGAGAAATCTGGGGGAAATACCGTCGTATATACCCACCCATTCAGCAATAAAATACTCTTTTTTTGTTACACAGATCTGAGAAAGTGCCAGCCAACCTGATCCAAGCTCAGCGAGACTACTTCGGAGCTCACACCTACGAGCTGCTCTCTAGCCCGGGGAAGTTCGTACACACCAACTGGACCGGCCACGGTGGCAACGTCTCCGCCTCTACCTACTCCGCCTGATTTCAAATTCGAAATTTCGAATTTGAATTCCGACAGCTACGGACGCACATTGCATACATAATATGTAGTAGTCCCATGTTTTAAGATGAGATGGTTGTGTAGGGTTAGAGTTAAAAACAATTTGTAAGTAGCCGTGATTATGAATTTTTAAAATGAGTCAGCATTTGGTATTCAGAAAAGTACACGATCTTTGGAGTACGTACATATTGACACTAACTTAAGTGATCTTTGGTGTGCATATTGACACTAAATTAAGTGATCTTTGGTGTGCATATTGACACTAAATTAAGTGATCTTTGGCGTACATATAATGGTGATACTGTCTAATCTGCAGTGATGGCTCTTAGCAGGAGCTTGCATGTTCGAGTCGTTTCTCCTTTCAGGATAATCTGAGTGAACAGAAAAAGTTTTTCTTAAGACAGTCACAAGACAAAAGGTGCATGCAACTTCAAAAGTATGGGTATGATTGGTCCAGGCAACACTATATTCACTTAGCATTGTCTTACTGCACCTTCAAAAAGTAAAAAGTGAAACTTAATTTTCGGTTTTAGCTATTATTTTTCTTATTTCCGTGTTCTTTACTATGAAATACGTACATTTGTGTTGGCCTGGATGATGCCGTCTTTGACTGCTGACTGCGGAGGGTGGAAACTGATGGCCACAGTCTTTGTACTGCCAGCCTCAACTGTTCCCTGTGTTGAGAGAGATGGAGTGTGGGAGGATATAAGAAATTTCTTGACTAAAAATACACCACTCCACTGTAAAACAAGTAGTAGGTGAAGTACAGGAAAATGGTAAATTTTCGGAAATCTGCACAAAAATTTGTCCCACTGCATTTATGAAGAAGGTCTGAGATTCGTGAAAGTGTATTTTCAGATTTTTACCTATAGCCTATACAGTAGTGTAAGCAACTAAATATTTCCTGCCATTCTGAAATGTGTTCCTATGAGTTTAGATACAGTACATACGTACCTTAGTTGGATCAAAGGTGAATGTCTTTGAGTGAGGGTTGGAAGGTGGTATAGCTTCAATCGTGAAATCACCAGTGTTCTGGACGAAGAGCAAAAACATGGCATCTTTGGTAGTGGCAAATACCGTGGCAGCAATAAATCATGGTGTACTTGTTTCTATGGTCTAGTCTAATTACTCTTATCGTATTCCAACTGTGTATCGAACTACCAACAACTTATTCCTTTTCTTCTTTCGTGACCTTTGTTTTGGTTTCCAAACTTACCAGGCCCCAAAGACGTGACTAGTATTTCATACATATATACGTACATACGTAGCTCTTTGGATACCTTCTTCACTGTGGCTGACTTTATACAGCCAATCTCCAGCTCCCTCTTCACCACGTCCCCACCACCCTCACCAGCTCTCTCGTCAAACAGGACCAGAACCGGTTCTACCGGCTCAACCGGTTCTCCGTCAGGTCCCAGGGACGGCATCCCAGCTGCCATACTGTGGAACTCTGCCTCTGTCTGATTGTCACTGCCAGTGATGTACATCATGGAGGAGCACGCTTGGCCAGCCAGTTTCAGAGTATGGGTGGGCTGTGGAACAGTTTAGTAGCACAGCAGTACCATATCTATCTGACTTTGCAGTTTGGCAATTTGTGTAAGGAAGTCATTTTTCTCTTTTTTCCTCCTGACCTATGTATTTTCTACCATTCTACAATCATTCATCTACGAGCTCATTATAAAAGGAGTGGGGGAGTTTAATTGAGGAAGTGTATTAGGTGAGAGAGAGAGAGAGACAATAGAGAGGTGGTTACCGAGTCATTGATGTTGATTGTGAGGGTGTCAGAGTAGTGAGCACTCTGATGATCCGGGGAAAAAATGACTTGGAACTCCGCCACGCTTTCTGAAGGTTATTATAGTCAAAGGAGATAAGGATGAAAAAGTTAAGAGTGTATGCACTGACCAGGTTCTATTCTTCCTTGGAATGGAATGCAGTCAAACACAGGCTTCCCACTATAATTTGCAGCTCCTGTAAAAATTTAACCGTCTCAGTATATAAAAATCGGAGAAGAACCCAGAAACTCACTGAATTTTGCTCCTTTCACATCGTTTCGTCCTAGAAGCTCAATGTTGTACCGCACACCCAAAGAACACGTGTTTTTTAGTTGGAACTTCCTGACGTTCGTGTCTCCGGTGTATGTGTGTCCAAAGTCCATTCCGTCGGAGTCAGGTTCCAATACCACACGAGGCTCCACGGCCTCTCCGATGAGTCTCAGATCCGTTCCACCAGACTCGGAGTGGGACAGTTTCATCACCTCGTAGAACTGGAAGTGCATCACCACACGTGGTAGAGTGGAGAAATTATAGCAGGAAAAATTGGTGGAAAATTTCGTGGACTTGGTTGCATCATCAAACTATATATCCAAGCTGGGTCTCTAACCAGCTAAAACGTTTCTCCCGGTATATATGATGTAATTATTATGTAATACTCACTCGGCCTCCATGACTAGGAGAGAACCTGAGAGAGAGGGTGTGGGTGGAAGAGGGAGGGACGGAGCGAAGGGCATTCCGAAGATAAAACGGACCGCGAGGATCCAGTGGTGAAGACATCAGCTGTTAATAGATATATATACAGATACTGTTGATGTCAGCAGTGAATGTTGTGAGGTGTCAGAACAGTGCATGCTAGAGGGAATGTGGCAGTATAGAAGGGTTAAATATAGAAAATCTTTCACTAGGCCCTATAAAGTAAATTTAGGTCTAATTTACTACCACATTCCCTTTAGACTAATGAGAAAGAGGTACGCTATATGTAAACATACCTGAATGGAGCTGTCTGAAATGTTCTTAACTGTCAGATGTTTGGTAAGATAATCACCTGGGAGATGGTCGATGTGTACATAATATCAGTTAGAGTTGTAAGTTTTATGTACAAATTATGAGTGAAGGAATACGTATATACTGTAAGATCGCTCACAAATTTGGCTGAAAATCAAGAATTATTTCCCCATAGTTTAGGTAGTCTACTTTCACCTGTGGCAACTGAGCTGAAATCGATGGTACTGTTTCCACCGTTAGAGAGGATCAGAAGTGACGGCTTCACCACTGGAACCCTTACCTCCACGTACAGAGTATCCTCTGGTCTGCGGGTATGGAGAATGGGGAATGGGAGAATGGAGAGTTGGAGTATTGGTATGGGACTGAGGTGAGTATATACCTGTATGGAACGGTGTCCAGTTCAGATGTTGGTGCCGCTGATGATACGAAGCAGGGCACGGAAAACTGGTGAGTCCAGTTCTGAAACCCGTTTAACAGGTTTGCCACGGCCTGTCGCCACGTCTCGGAACCTTCCTCGGGCACGTCGACTTTAACCCCTTCCTCACCACTGCAATCGTCCTTATCGCTTCTGGTACCTTCAGTCTTTCCTTGCTGGATTTGGGAGCTCCTTTCTCTGTCAGTTCCTCCACCATCTCCACCACTCTTCCTGCCGCTAACTTCACTCTCGCGACCACTGGAGGAGACCTCCCCTTTTCCCTTCCTCTTCTTCTTCTGGCTCTCACCTCGACTAGCTGCACGACTTCCCTTCTTTTGCTGGGAGAAAATGAGTGCCATGTAGCAAGGTAGAGAAGGTCGTGATCTTCTTAATTTCAGAGCTACGTATTATGTAGAAAATACTATCTCGCTCCACCCTTTTCCCCCTATTGCGCTCCAAAACTATAAGCTCCCTTCTTCAACTCTCACTCATCCATACCCTATCCTTATTTTTCTCCTCCACCCTCTGATTTTTGGGCTTCTATTTTATTTTACCTCAGGAGTTGAGGCGGACTCTTGGTCTCTCTGCTGAGCAGCGAGAGCTCCTTCCCTGGCCCCGATTCTTGCAGCCTCAGTGGCTAGTCTCAGTGCCTCTTCTCTTGTGGCAGTGACAGGGAGAGAGGGAGTGTAGGACAGCTCAATGGAGACACTCTGTCAGAGAGATAGAGAGAGAAATGGATGGGAGTGAGGGAGAGTAACGAGTGCTGAAGGATAGAAATTTAGTGGGAACATAGGGGCACAGAACCCTAGCAAGTGTTGTCATTATTTTCAACACCTTGAGAACTACACCATGCGAAAACTTTGGCAATCCAACTTGAAATCACAATATTGAGAAATATTTCTGCGATAGCTACAATATGTACCTCATCAAGATCAATTGTGCCAACACGAGGAGAGATTTCCATTGGAACCCCATCGGGGACCGAAAATTCAAAAACCTTGGGTCCCTGGGGTAGAACGGCCCCCCTGATTACGGCGCTGCTGAGTCGACCGAGTCTGGTATTGGTGATGGATATGCGGGCAGTGATCAGACTGTTGAGGGGAGTTGCTGAGAAATTCACGACGTTCTCTGGCAGTTTGAGTGACGGCAGAACTCCTCTTCCCTTACAAGAGATCTTGAAACTCCTGTGGATGATACAATATGGACTCTTATTGATTCACCTTTACTCATGAAATTTTGAGGGAAAGGCAAAAATTAATACTATCACATGCACATGTCATTTTGAGCCAACTAAGCTCAATGGTTTCTATGCTGTTCCTATAGAGTTCAGTATGTTATGTATGTACCTGTTGAGGTGGGTAAGGCAGGTCAGCTCAAAGCTGTAGTCTCGAGGTTTGTTGGCACTGAATATGAGATCAAGTGAAATAGTCTCTTGAGGGAGTATGGTCCCAAATCCATCATTTGGCTGGACATCAACACACTGTGAAAGGGAGAGGGAGACTTCGTGAATGAGAATATGTTAGCAGAAGAGTTTGGTGGATATGAAGAGTGTTGGTATAGTATGGACGAAGGTACAGTTACCAGCACCCTGCATTAACCACTAAAGAATACTTTGCTCTACTGTGTCACAGCAGTATTATGGTAGTATAGAAGAGGGTAAACAGTACCTTGAATGAGGACACCTCTCTAATAAGAAAACCTTTTCTCTCCCCAAGAAGAGCTCTTGCTAAATGCTGAACGCCTCACTAATAAGAATACTTTCTTCTGTCACATTGGTGTCTGGATTAGAGGGGTTCCTCTTTATTATATACTACGTATACATGTCAGTAAGTGTGCTCACGTCTGGGAGGTGGACAAATCCAAACTCCTGGGGTAGAATTGAGGTGTTGGTGATGCTCAGAGTAGCCACGACTGATTCGTGGAGTGTGCAGGTCCCAAAGTCAATGTCACTGCTACTGAACACCAGGTCAGATG